GGGGAGAGGGGGCGGGGCGCAGGCACGCGCCGCCCCGCCCCGGCCGAGCCTGAGGGGACAGCGGGGGGGGGGGCACCGGGCACAGGGCTGGTGTCGGGCACAGGGCTGGCACCGGGCACAGGGCTGCCGGGGGTGACACACCAGTGCCGGGGGCGGTGCCGCCTGCGCGAGCGGCGGCTCCCTCACGCAGCGCTCCCTCGGCTGTTTGGGACCGCAGACCCGAACGGGATCCTCCGAGCAGCAAGAGGAAGGGGGGGGAGGGGGGAGGAGGGTGGAATTTATCGATACCGTTTCTGCAAATGCAAATGCCAAGACGCCAAGTCCTGCTCCAGGGAAGGGATGTCTGAGGGCAAGCCCTGCGGAGCAGAGCCGGGGTCCGGGCTGGCGGCGCGCTGGGCACGGTCAGCAGCGCCCCGGCGGCAGCTGCGGCCCCTGCTCGGGGCTGTACGAGCAGGACCGTGGCCAGGCAGCCGAGGGAGGGGATAATCCCCCCCTTGCTCTGCACTCACGGGACAACAGAGGTGTCGTGGGTCCGGTTTGGGCACCCCCGGGAGAGGCAACACATCGATAAACTGCAGAAGGTGCTGAGGAGGGCACCGAGGGGTCCGGGGCTGCAGCACCGTAGGCTGAGGGACCAGGGCCAGATCAGCCCGGGGAAGGCACAGTGTGGGAGGCAGCAGCAGCCCCCCAAAACCTATGGTGGGATCATCAAAAAGGCAGCTCCGGAGCTTTCACAGCAATGCCTAGTGGGGAGGCAAGAGAAAATATAGTGTGTCAAGAGGGATGTAAAGAAAACCCTTCTCTCCCGTGAGAGCAGTGGAGCGGGCTCCCTGACCAGGAAAGCTGTGCAGACTCTGTCCTTGCAGGACTGGAGTCCCGATGGGACAGAGCCCTGTTCTGAGCTCACTGATGACCCTGCTGAAAGTTCTATTGGTCTATGATTCTCTAATTTTAATTGTTTTGGGTTTTTTTTCCCAGCAAATAGGTGCTTTTTTCAATTGAGCTTTATTAAAAGTAGCTGCAATTTGCACAGTCTATCCTTCATAATTAATTCAGTGCAAACCAAGTCTGATTGCTGAACTCAGAACTGAACCTGTTTGCCAGCAAACCAAGCAACAGTAAAACAAATGCACATACTGTGAATGAATATGGTCTAAAAGGGCAAATCACTTTCCAAGTGCCTTCAGCATCTGACACTTTGGCTTTTAGGTTCACAGTTAGCATTTGTCTACCAAGTCACTGCTTCAGACCAGCCCCAAGGCGTTTCACAGAGGTTCTGGAGAGCCACCTCGGAGTAACCTGTGCCTATTGCAACCTGTACCAGTACAGCAGGCTGCACAAACAAAGCTCTCTGTTTTGACACCCTTGCTGCTCTCTAGCCTCCAGCCACATGGTCTCCTTTCAAATGTGTTTAAACCCAGATCCCAGGGATGTCCTTTCCAGTACTTCACAGCCCTGGATCAAGCATGTCTCATTTGTAACTCTGTATATAATATACTCTGCTTAGTAGTTTCAGTCTCTTTGAGCAGCATAGTTTCCAAAATGCCTCTCAGATTGAGCCACTTCAATTAGCTGCTTTTTTTCTGCTTCCAGTTGTTTCCAGTTAATGTCCCAGGCATCTCTACAGGTGACAGCTTTGGACCTGGCAGTAATCACTTAGTGAGCTTCCATTTTAAACTAGTGACAACAGATACATGATGTCAGCCTGATACATCCAACCTCTCTGAGAACATTTCTCTGATATCTACAGAGCTGTCAGGACTGGGGAGAAAACTCTTCATTATAACAACCAGTTTTCAGGCCTAACTAACTTTTTCACCCAGACTGACATGGAAAGACATTCTTGACTTAGAAGCCAAAGCAGTGACCTGTCACACTGAATTTGCTTGAGAAGGGCATAAATTCTTAGTTTGCTTCTTTAAAAAAGATGTGAGACATTTTCAGAAAATTATCTCCTGGTCTGTATTCATGAAACAGCAATTACCTTCACTTGCTGGAATTAGCATAGCATACACAGCATGTACTGTTCATTCTCAAAACGTAAAAGCCCTTCACACATCTGCCTCTTTTTTTTCTTTTTTTTTTCTCTAAATATATAAATGGGGATGAATGCAGAAGAATAGCTTGAGTGGTAAGACGCTACATGGTATGTATCTTAGAGGTATTGAAGGGCCTATTTCTGATGTAATAGGTGGCAAATCCTGAACTGACTCACATCTTTGAAAGGTGTTGATATTAGCTATGACTTCGATGACTTTCTCATTACAGTAGAAATGAAAGTTACTTAAAATGGATTGAAATTAGTAAGCTGAAGTAACTCATGATAGAGAACGGTGCATATGTAATAGTATAACATATATATAATTATCTAAATAATAAAGTGATATATGGAACTACATTAACACATTAATCCTTTCACATGCAAACTTCCAGTTACGGCTTAATGATGCAGCACCCTGGAATTAGGGCTCCTTGATACCACACTTTTCAGTCTGCCCGAGTATTCCTGAGTCTCCTAGCACAGGTGGTGCTGAAGGCCATGAACCATTCATTACCAGATACCTGATCCAGCTTATTCCAAACCACAGTATCAACACCAGGCCTCTGACGCAGAAGAGGAGGTGCAGAGAGGAGAGCCGTGCAAGCCCCAGGTCATGTCCCCGTCCTGAAGGCGTCAGCTCTGCAGATGTGGTACCTTTGATGTCTGTTTAGCAACCTGAACTTCAGCGGAGGTCGGTCTCCACTGCTTGCTTTCTTGGTCTTTTCCTCCCATGTTCTTAGTACACCCAACTGGCAGGCACAGACCTTTGGTGGATCAACTGCTGAGTGCTTGAAGCCATCGTGTAGATCAAGGGGGAGACGGGGGATGCAGGGAGAAGGGGGGAGGTGGCGAGAGAGGAAATATCATATGGCAACAGCACTCAGACATGAACGAGTGGATTCTGTGATTGTTCCTGACAGCAGCGGTGTAACGCCGGTTCCACTTCCCCGTGCTCTGCACAGCGTGGCACGGCTCGCTCCCAAACCCTGCTGTCCAGCCTCTCCAAACCCTGCTGTCCAGCCTCTC